CTGTGTGATTCTGTGTTCATGCCTTACGTCGGTCAGGTATTCAGAACAGACGATGAAGCATTTGAATATTACAGTACATTCGCAAGGAAGAGTGGATTCTCCATTAGGAAAGCTAGGTCTACGGAAAGCCAGAATTTAGGTGTATATAGGCGAGATTTTGTTTGTTATCGTTCTGGGTTTAATCAGCCTAGAAAGAAAGCTAATGTAGAGCATCCTCGTGAGCGTAAGTCCGTGCGATGTGGTTGCGACGCTAAGTTGTATCTGACTAAAGAAATTGTTGATGGTGTGACTCAGTGGTATGTTTCACAGTTTAGTAATGTTCATAACCATGAGCTTCTGGAGGATGACCAAGTGAGGCTGCTTCCCGCGTATCGGAAGATTCAACAGGCTGATCGAGAGAGGATTCTTTTGCTGTCTAAAGCTGGATTCCCCGTTAATCGGATTGTGAAGTTGCTAGAGCTAGAAAAAGGTGTTCAGACAGGTCAGTTGCCTTTTATAGAGAAGGATGTTAGAAACTTTGTTAGGGGATGTAAGAAGACTGTTCAAGAAGATGATGCTTTTCTTACTGAGAAACGAGAGACCGACATGTTGGAGCTCCTGGAGTCTTGTAAAGCATTGGCTGAGAGAGACATGGGTTTTGCTTATGACTGTACGTCAGATGAAACCCGCAAAGTTGAAAACCTTGCCTGGGCTTTTGGAGATTCTATTCAGGCGTACTCTATATTTGGCGATGTCGTTGTTTTCGACACCACATATCGGTCAATCACTTATGGCGTGCTCCTTGGCGTATTTTTTGGTATAGATAACAATGGCAAGGCAATTCTTTTGGGATGTGTTTTGCTGCAAGAAGAGAGCTCTCGTTCTTTTGCATGGGCTTTACAGGTTTGTGCATTTAGTTTATTGTATTTGTCAATATTGGAGTACATATATATGCTATTGTTGTGATCCATTTTGTCTTATTTTGGGTAGACTTTTGTTCGTTTCATGAGGGGACGACATCCTCAGACAATTTTGACGGATATAGATACAGGACTTAAAGATGCTATTGCAAGGGAACTGCCAAACACAAACCATGTGGTATTTATGTGGCACGTTATCTCCAAACTAGCAAGCTGGTTTTCTCAGGCACTTGTTTCGCACTACGATGAATTTAGAGCTGGCTTTGAGTTGTTATGTCAGGCGGGGAATGTAGATGAATTTGAACAGCAGTGGGATCTCCTTGTCACTCGGTTTGGTCTTGTTCCAGATAGGCACGCGGCTTTGCTTTATTCGTGCCGAGCTTCCTGGTCGCCTTGTTACATTAGAGAACATTTTGTAGCTCAAACTATGACTGCTGATTTTAATCTATCTATGGATTCGTGCTTGAAAAGAATTGTCGCTGGACAGACATGTATGCAAATATTACTTGAAGAGGTTTGTGAATCATATGGATTTTACTGCTTTATTTAATTTCTACGTTATTACATTGCTGCATTGATTTTATTATTCTGGTGAGCATTGCAGGTCAGTGCGGCAGCAAGTCTAGCCAAGCAAATCCTGCCACGATTTCCTTATCCGACCATGAAGACATGTATGCCTATGGAAGATCATGCAAGGGGGGTCCTGACGCCTTATGCCTTTAGTGTACTACAAAACGAAATGATTTTGTCTGTGCAGTATGCGGTGTCTGAGATGGCGAATGGTCCATACATCGTACATCACTTCAAGAAAATGGAAGGGGAATGTTGTGTGATCTGGAACCCGGAAAATGAGGAGATCCATTGTTCATGCAAGGAATTTGAACATTCAGGAATCTTGTGCAGGCATTCTCTCCGGGTGCTGTCCGTGAAGAACTGCTTTCATATACCCAACCAGTATTTTCTGATACGATGGAGACAGGAAAGTCCTCTTGTTACTGCAGAAAATCAACATGGTCAGGGCGTTGGCGATGACTGTGCTCAAACGTTTCATTCGCTCACAGAAACTCTCCTAACAGAGTCTATGATCTCAAAGGATCGGATTGATTACGTTAACCAAGAACTCTCTGCACTTATCGATCGTGTTAGAAATATAGCACCAGCTAATGCTTGTATCAGCCATGACTGCTAATCCAGCAAGTGGTGTTTGGAATCCCTACTTCTTTGACATGGAGAAATTGGACAAATGGCCTTTGGTTTTATAACTTCTTCTGTGTTCTTCAAATGCTTGATCAAATAGTGAGCGAAATGCCTGCAAGGTGAGTTATATTCTAATATCTGAAGAGTTCTCCTATGCCTTCTCATATGAAAGTTCTTATATGAGTACATGGCTACTATGATCGATTGAGAATACCTTTTACAGGAAAATGAACCAAAGAGATATGTACATGGTTTTGAATCGATGCGCTAATTACGATTTCTCTGTTGGATTGGTGTTGGTTGTTGATCATGAAAGAATTGTGGAAGGTTGTTGTCTAGGGTTTGATTTGGTGTTACCGATTTGGTCAGATTTCAATACATATATTTATTATCACATAAAAGTAGAAGAATCTTACAAACAAAGGCAGTAGAAATCACAAGAGAGAGAACTATGTTTTTGCCTAATTGTGAATTGGAATTCAAAGGAATCTAGATGTGGCATTATTTGTTTGTGAACTAAATCATCATATAATGGTCACATAACTCGTAAAATCAATATCCATTGATAGTTTTTCCACTACTTCAGGTTGTAAACATGCCTGAAAATCAAGACTTCCTTCTTCAACTCCTTGGAAAACAACAAGTCTCCCATTGAGATATGGTGGTCCAGCTCTTGCAGCTATCGGTTTACCCCAGCCGAAATCGTTGCAGTACACATCGAACTGGTGAGAGTTAGTGACAACTAAATCTTTGCTACCAACAGAAACCGGAATCTTGACATTTTTCACCCAATTCTCTGCTAACGCTTTGGCATTTTTATCCGTTTGTGACTCGACCATTTTGTTTATTTCTGCAGCAGCCCAGCGCAGTCCGTGGTCCAGCAGCTCCCCAACCGTGACTATGGCTATACCCGTCGGGCTCACATTCCCAAAACACTCTTCTTCGAGCGGTGGATTGAGCCTTTGCCTCATGTTTATAGGTAACCTGCAATGCGTCTCTTCTTCTCGGCTCATGCCACTGTGCTTAATCATTGAACGCCATATCAGTCCTAACACCGCTTGTATAGAAGAGATCTTCTGATCAGCCTCACCGTTAGCTTTACCTTCCAGTTTCAAAACATTCTCCTTTGTAACATGAAACATCTTCTCTTGCAAATTGGTTGATGTTGCATAACTAGTTGCTTTTGCTTCAGGGTCTGGAATATGGATTGGATAATCAATCCCATCAAAGAACCAACCTTTGAGGTGAAGTTGACGCTGGAAAGTTTCGAATCCCGAATCCTTCGAGCAAATCTCAGACCACTCGTTAACAAACTTCCAGATTGATTTTCCGTCAGCAACGGTAGAGTTATAACCAAAACCGATAAAAACTCCGTCTTTCATCTCAGTCACTTGAACCATAAGTAAAGATCTCGAGACACCGTTATAGTTCTTGATCCCTGTCGCGGGAAAGAAGGAACTGAGAAACCCGGGGACAGAACCAGGCAACCGAAGGACATCACTGACCTCGATGTTCCTAGCCACGGCGTGAACAAACTCCACACCAGAACCATCACAGCTGATGAAAAACGAGACGGTGTCGTCGTCGTTCTCTACCTTGACAAGACGACCAGCTAAAGGATAGAAACGATCAAGTGCAACAGAGAGTGAAGCTTTTAATCGTGAGATTACTATGTCAATTTTGAGATCAGGTTTGGGAAAGAGAAGACCTCTTTGAAGATAACCAAAGCGAAGACGAGAGAGATCCCATGGAGTAAGATGAATCTTCTTCTTCTTCACGGAGCTAACATTTCTGGGATTTAAGATGCTCTTCGAGATCACCACCAATTCTTCTTCCATCTCTTAGACTCAGTTTCTTTCTTTTTCAGGTAATCATTAATTCTCTTATGAATTGAGTCAATATTCGAAGTACTAAACTAAATAGAAAGACTCTTTTTTTTTTGTTTTGGGTCACAGGTTACGTCTTACTTTATCGTATTTGTTGCGTGGTCCAGATAATTTTAGTTTTAATTTTGCCATTTTATGAAATGCCTTCACGTGTATACCAAACTTTAATAAGACCAGGTAGGCATGTGAATATGGAATCTATATGATTGGTTCGTATGTAATAGTGACTTTATCTTTAGTTGATAGTGACTACTAGTAAAAAATTCTAGTGCAATACACATGTATATCACTATCTTTCTAGAACAACGACAAATTCCTTTATTCTTATGAATACTCACGACATGCTGGTAAGCTAGTTGTTAGAACATAAACTAGTTTTAATAATCGGAAATAATCTTACACACTTTGACAGTAGGAAACCACAAGACAAACACACATAAATCTTGTAAATTGTTGACCAAATCATGAAACAATGTCGACATACTCCAAAAACTCAGCATCCTTGAATAGCTTTGCGACTACTTGAGGCTGAAAACAAGCTTGGAATTCAATATCTCCTTCTTTAACCCCTTGAGAAACCAATAGTTTCCCATCTATAAGGGGCGGTCCAGCCCGTAAACCGATCGGTTTACCCCAACCGAAATCGTTACCATACACATTAAACCGGGGACAGCTAGCAACAAGCAGAGCATACCTTCCACTAACAGAAACTGGAATCTCAACATTCTTGACCCAATTCTCTGCAAATGCTTTAGCATTTTCATCGGTTTGTGACCGAACCATCTGGTTAATCTTCAGAGCCAACCAGCCTAGCCCATTGTCAAGCATCTCTCCAACGTTGACTTTAACCATCCCGGTCTGAACTACATTCCCAAAACACTCTTCTTTTAGCTTTGGATTTAGCCTTTGTCTCATATCTATCGGTACTTTACAAGATGTCTCTTCTTCTCGGCTCATGCCACCATTTTTGACCCTTGAACGCCATATATGACCTAAAACCGCTTGAAACGAAGAGATCTCGGTTCCAATCCCTTCATTAGCTTTAGCTTTCAGTTTCAAAACATTCTCTTTCGTAAGACGAAACACAATCTCTTGTAAAATGTTTGATGTTGTTGAAGAACCGTAATTAGTAGGTGGTGTTGTCTCAGGATCTTGAATATGGATTGGATATTCGATCTCATCGAGGAACCAACCTCGAAGAAGAATCGGGGAAATAATTCCCATGGAGCCCTTGGAGCAAATCTCTGACCATGCATTGATGAATTTCCACAGTGATTTACCATCAGCAACGGTTTGGTTATAGCTAAAACACATAAAAATCCCATCTTTCATCTCAGTTACTTGAACCATAAGTAAAGGGTTTGACACACCTTGATAGTTTTTTATTCCGGTCGCAGGGAAGAAGAAAGAACCGATCAAACCACCGATAAAACCGGACTTAACCATATCTTTAACCGCGATGGTTTTAGCTTCGGCGTGAACAAATTTGACACCGTAACCATCACTACCATCGCAGCTGATGAAATACGAGACAGTGTCATCGTCCTCGTTGACCTTTTTGACAAGACGACCAGCAAAAGTGTACAAATGATCAAGAACAATGGAAAGTGAAGATTTCAACTTTGAGATGATTATATCGAAATCTGAACCTGGTTTAGGAAATAAAAGACCTCTTTGAGGATAACTAAAACGAAGACGAGAGAGATCCCATGGAGTCATATTGATCTTGATCTTCTTCTTCACACCAACATTTAATCTAGGATGAACAATGCTCGTTGACTTCACCACCAAATCTTCCATA